TGTAGCATACTAATGCAAGATGTTGATAACAGGGGAAACTGTATGGGAAAGGGTGGGTATATCGGAACACCGTACTATCCAGCCATATTGGTCAAGGTTGTGTTCATCTATTTTTATCCCATTATGTATATTATTTTTTAAACTGTATTACTATTTCACTTGAATACATACACAAAAGAGTTGGAAACACAGACTTACACAGACATATGCATACCAACATTCACAGCAGCATTCCTTATAATAGCCAAAGTGGGAAACAACCCAAATGTCCATCAGTGAATGAATGAATAAACAAAATCTGGTATATTCATACCATGGAATATTATTCAGCCTTAAAAAGGAAATTTTGACACATGCTACGATATGAATGAAGTTTAAGGACATTTACTAAGTGAAATCAGCCGATACAAAAGGGCAAATTTTGTAATGATTCCATTTATATCAGGTGCCTAGAGTACTGGAATTCATAGAGACAGAAAGCAGAATGGTGGCTGCCAGGGGCTGAGGGAGGGAAGAATGGGGAGCTGGTGTTTAAGGGGTACAGAGTTTCAGCTGGGGAAGATGGAAAAGCTCTGGAGACAGTGGTGATGGCTGCATAACAATGTGGAAGTATTTCATGCTACGGAACTGTACACTTAAAAATGGTTAAAATAGGGCCAGGCGCAGTGGCTCACACCTGTAATCCCAGCACTTTGGGAGCCTGAGGCGGGTGAATCACAAGGTCAGAAGATCAAGACCATCCTGGCTAACATGGTGAAAACCCGTCTCCACTAAAAATACAAAAAAAAAGTAGCCGGGTGTGGTGGCACGAGCCTGTAAACCCGTTCTCCACTAAAAATACAAAACATTAGTTGGGTGTGATGGCACGTGCCTGTAATCATAGCTACTCAGGAAGGTGAGGCAGGAGAATCGCTTTAACTCAGAAGGCGGAAGTTGTAGTAAGCCGCGATTGTGCCACTGCACTCCAGCCTGGGTGACAGAGCAAGACTCCATCTCAAAAAAAAAAATTGTTAAAATGGTAACGTTTATGTTATGTGTATTTTACTATAATAAAAAAAAATTTTAAGTGCTGAAAAACTGGTCATCCTAATTGAAAAAAAATTCTCTATCATACCATACATAGAAATAAATTCCATATGGAAAGCAAAACTTTTTAAAACTTTCGGAAGGAAATATAAGAATATATAATTCGCACCCCAGGATAGAGGAAATTTTCTTAAACCAGATACACACCCAAAAGAATGACGTCATTTAAGGAAATTTTTCATAAATATTACATTAAACTTAAATGGTATATATAACCAAATACATTGTTAACAAAGGAAAAGAAAAGCCCAGGACTGGCAGGGTACATTTGCAACACACAGACCCATGAAGAATCAGCAACTAAGGGAATCCAACTGTTCTTCAGTGAGTAAAAGACTCTGTGTAGACATCATGCTGTGATGTAAGTCTATAGTGGGACCAGGTGCAGGGGCTCACGCCTGTAATCCCAACACTTTGGGAGGATCACTTGCCAGCACAAGCAACATGGCGAGACTGCATCTCCACAAAAATTGTAAAATTAACCGGGCATGGTAGCACTCAACTGTAGTCCCACCTCCTTGGGAGAATCACTTGAACTCTGGAGTGCCACTGCACTCCAGCCTGGGCAACAGAGCAAGACCCTACCTCAAAAAAAAAAAGAATCTACACTGAATACTGAATACACTCAGCAGTTAAAAATAAACGGATTAAATCCACAAGCAGCAACATGGTTACAACCCCATCAATTATATGGTCAAATGCATACCTCTGACCCAGCAATTGTATTTTTTCATTCACTGCACCAATGGCCCTTAATGAGAATACTAAACAAACTACAATAGTATTGCATAAGAGACTGTGTAGTAAGAAGACTCAGGTCGATTCCTGTGTTCCAACACGAAAAGATCTCAAAATCATTCTGTTACAGGAAAAAAACTGCAGAACAATGGGCAAGGTATGATGTCATTAAAGTAGAGGAGAAAAAACTGCTCTTTTTAAATTCTGAATTACCTATATATACGTGAATCTACATAGATAATGGTCTGGAAAGACCACAATGAACTGGTAACTTCAGTTTCCATGAGTAGGTCAAGGGGGCCTTTATTCTGTCTGTACTGTTTGAGTATTTGACAAGTGAGGGTGCATTCTAGCCAGCTGCAGAGTTGCAGCACACAGTTGCACAGAGTGTGCACTACACAACTCCAGGAGCTGCCAGGCACAGGGACTCCTATGTGAATGATGCTCCCTAAAGCTGATCTACACAACTAGATGCCACAATTCTGATGCTCATGTAATTAAAAATCAATAGAAGGGAGTAGGGAAGGATGGTGAATAGACCGCAAACCAGCATGCCATGGAAATGTCTTGATTGGAATGGTGGTTACAAAGTATACAGCAGTCCCCCCTCAGAAATAAACAATTCATAAGTTTTAAGTTGTGCACCATTCTAAAGAGCATGATGAAATGTGCCATCCCACTCTGTCCCACCTGGGATGTGAACCATCCCTTTGTCCAAGGTATCCACACTGCATAAGCCACGCCCTGGTTACTCACTTATAGCTCTCAATTATCAGATTGACTGTCATGATATCACAGGGCTACTGTTCAAGTAACCACTGTTTTACTTAATAATAAGCCCAAAGTGCAAAAGTAGTGATGCTGGCAACTGCGATAAGCCAAAGAGAAGCCAAATATATGCCTAAGAGAAGGTATTCATCTCTCATGGCACCTAACTTATCAGTTATGACTTTATCATAGGTGCTTACATACAGGAAAGAAAACAGTCTGTATAGGCTTTGGAATTAGCTGTGGCTTCAGGCACCCACTGACTCTTGGAACATATCCCTGAGGCTAATGGGGGGACTACTGTACGAATTTTTTCAAAACTCATCCAACCACTCACAGGAAATCTGTGCATTTTATCCTGTCAACTATGTGTCAACAAGTTTGTTTTAAAATAAATATATAAACAAAATATCATTGAGAGGGCCTGGAATAAGGCACCCAGAATTGAAGAACCTAGGTTCCACTAAACAAGAGAACTACTGGTTATACAGTCCTAAAACAGGAGAAAGTAATTTACTTCTTCAAGGTTTCCAATACCAGATTTTGATTATTACTCTTATTTTTCACACGAAGAAACTAAGGCCCTGAGAGATTAATATAAAGCCATAAAATAAACAATAAATTGAATTTCTCTTGGTTTTGAGTCTAATTTTCCAACCATAGGTAGAAATTTGTCTTTCAGGCATAGTGGACATCCAAAAACCCTGCCAGCACTACCTTGAGTGCACAACCCCCTTCAAAGACAACTCCACTTATGCATGATAAAAATCCTCAAAGAACTCATAAAAGGTCAAGTTTTAATTTGGCAGACAAAGTGACCGAACAGGCACTGCAACCCAGCGAACGGAAACAGAAGCCTGGAGCTCCAGACTTCAGAGATTCAGCCAAGGCAGAGAACAGGTAGAATTCCAACCCTTACAGAAAAGCAAAGGCACAAACAGCCTCGGACTATAGATCTAAGATTCAAGAACCAGGATAAAAATGAAAAAGTTTTCTCTAGACAAAACTACCCTCTTCCTTCTCAAGTGATAGAAAAAGCCAATGGGAGAAGGAACACAATGGAATGATCTCAAGCAACAGCCGAGAAAGCTCCTGACAGCCAACATGCAAGCAGCATGGGAAGGTGGTAGCATGGCCACAGGAAACCAAGACCTCGCCCCCTTAGCCAGACCTAAGAACCGGGGTTGCCAGAAAAAAAAAAAAAAAAGGCAGAGAGAGAGAGAGAGAGAGAGAGGAGAGAGAGAGAGAGAGAGAGAGAGAGAGAGAGAGAGAGAGAGAGAGAGAACTTGAAGAATAGGGGAAATCCAGCAACCTTCCCTAACACTAGAGTGGCTGACACTGCTCCATGTCAAATGTGGCAAAACCTTGCCTGTCCATTCATTCTTGCAATAGACATGAATGGCTCCACTGCTGTGAGCCAAGCAACATTCTGAGGATTTAGCAGTGAATATAGTCATGGAGCTTATTTCCACTTGGGAAGGAAGGAAACTTCCTTTCTTTCGAAACGTCTTGTTTCCCCTCTGACAGTCCCCTTTAAATAGTACCCATAGGAGCCTTCAAAACTCTTGCAAATTTGTCCCATAGGCCTTTGACCTTTCTGCTTTATCCCCAAAACCACAGAATTTATGACTCCAATTTCCCAATACTGAGAAAAGACAAAAGAGACCTAAAGTGAATAGGGCACGAGACATAAAATTCGAAGCTCCTTCGTATTTTACGTGCATACCTTCACAGCCACACTGTCAGCCCCTCAATAACAAATGACGGTGTGTTTCATACTATTTCGTGGCCCCAGTGCTGACTAAGGTTCTCTACCCACGGTAGATGGGAGGTCTTCCTAATCCCAAGGCCTGGCATGGGAATTTAAGGACAAGCATTCGTTACCGGCATCCTCCTCTCGGGACACTTTCCAGTCCAGGGTGACCTCCGGGACAGGTTCGCTATTAGGCGCCTCAGAAAACAGTGATGTGGGGTGATCTGAAACAAATACTCTTCCCTCTGCCAGGGCCTGCCCGTCTCACCTGCCCTCTGCCAGGACCTGACTCCCGCGCCCCTTCAGCACCTAACGCAGAGCCGCCTCCCGGCGAGCCGGGATCGGGCAGCATCAACCCGGCGCCGCGCCCCCGCTCGCGCCCGCGCCCCGGCGCGCTCCGGACCCCGAGATCCCTCGCGGCCCGGGCTCAGCCGCATCCCCTCCGCCTGGTCCTACTCGCAGCCGCGCGAGCGCAGCGGCCCCGGCTCCCCGCGCCCTCCCTGCCTCCTGCGGCCCCGCACCCGCAGGCTCCCGGGTCCCGTGTCCCCGCTCCCGGGCCCCGGCGCAGCGCAGGCTCCCGTCCCGCACCTCGCGGGCGCCAGGCTCCAGCCGCACTCTGCTCCCCGCAGCCCCGGCGGCCGCCGCGGACCCCCACCTTGCTCACTTTCCGGCCGGAGCAGGGGGCGTCTGGAAGATCTCCGGCGGCCTCACTCCTCTGCCCGCTCCGGCCCGGCCCCCTCGGCTGAGGCAGCAGCGGCGCCCACTCAGGCCCCGGAGCCGCCCCCGCGGCGAACGTTCGCAGCGCCCGGCTCGCGCCGCTTCCCCGCCCGGCACGCGCAGCGCCCGCCCCCGGCGCGAGGGCGCGAGGGCGCGAGGGCGCGAGGGCGGAGAGCGGAGGTGGGGAGGGCGCGCGCCTAGCGTGCGCGCGCGGCCGGGGGCGGGGCTTCTGCGCGTGGGGAGGGGGCGGGAGCAGCCAAGCACCCCCTCGACCCCGCCCCCGCGGACGCGCCCCGCCCCCGGTCGCCCGCGGGTTCCGGGCAGGCGGGAAGCTGACTCCGTCCAGGCTTCTCTCGCTCGCTGGCGCCGGGCCGGGTGCCTTTCCATCCGCAGGTATCTGCCCGCGGGGTGCCCGGCCCGACGTGACTACAGGGCAAAGAATGCAAAGAGCCACCCCGTGAATCATTCCCAGCGCCTGAGCACAAGCCTCTGCCCGAGTGACCCCCGTGAACTCCACAAGCTCGCTCGGCAGCGGCGTGCGCCCCGCGCTGCACCAGGTGACTGTGGGCGCACGGTCACGGTCACGGTCACGGCGCCTGGCCTCGAGGCGCCTATAACTTAGCGGGGAAAACAGCCATGTACACAACCAGGTCCGGTGACCCGTGCAGAGCCAAGCCTCGGTGCGGTGCTTTGGGAAGGCACGGGAGCTAGAGATGATTTCTGCTTGGACGCCGCGGAGGGCTTCCTGGAAGAAGCGTCATTTATGATCAGCCTCGAAGGAAGAAAAGTCTTAGGAGGAAAAACGGAGAACATCAGGGCTAGGAAAACAGCTTGGGCAAAGGAGCCAGGAGCAGCCAGGTTTACCTTCTCAGCGCCAATTTTTTTGTGTTTTACTGTTAACCATCTTTTATAGAATTCTTTCCGAACTATGTGAAGTGCAGGAGATGGTGCCAAATTAGGAGTAGGTAGGACTTTTTAAATGGCTCAAATGGTCATTTTTCTCAATGTTACTTAAGACTCAAAACAGCAACATCCTTTAAGGGCTATTGGTCAATGATGAAGGCTGTAAGCTCTGAGCTAAGCAACCCCAGGCCTGCATGCTGGGAGTATGGTTTTCACTGGCTTTTGGCACCTTATGGTAAGGCAGATCGTGCCACCTCCTGCTGCTGTCTGCCTGCCTGCCTTTAGAACACCCTCTTCCTCCTCCTCTCCTCTTTTTATTTTTAAACTTCTATGGTGAAGGAAATGCTGATAACCAACTTTGTTAAATGGGAACAAATAGGTTCCTCAAAAGATGGGCATTTTCTGGCTGGGCACTGTGGCTCCGCCTGTAATCCTAGCACTTTGGGAGGCTGAGGTGAGCGGATCACTTGAGGTCAGGGGTTCGAGACCAGCCTGGCCAACATGTCGAAACCCCATCTTTACTAAAAATACAGAAATTAGCTGGGCGTGATGGCATACACCTGTGATCCCAAGCCTGTAACCCCAGCAGTTACTTGGGAGGCTGAGGCAGGAAAATGGCTTGAACCCAGGAGGCAGAGATTGCAGTGGGCTGAAATCGTGCCACTGTACTCCAGCATGGGCAACAGAGTGAGACTCCACCTCAAAAAAGCAAAACAAAACAAAAAGCTGGGCATTTTACCTTTCATAAAGTGTGTGAATATTTTCATGCTTGAGGAGACTTATCTCTTGTAGGCACGGTCTTTGCTATGTTTTGAACATATTAAGATACTCAGAATACAGGTAAGAGACATCTAGCTTCTTCATTTGCCCTTTTTGAGCACCCACTATGTGGAAGGCATTGAGAAGGTAAATATTGATTCTGTTCTTTGGAGAAAAGATGTGCAAATAATATAAAATAAATGTGTAAATATTGCTTGATATGTTTGTCCTATCGATTGAAACCAAGGTAATTTCAATATGTGGACTAGATAAGCATGAACCATAAGGGAATTAAATACTTCAAGTGCACTTGTATTCGTGTCTCTCCACCTCTGTTCTGTATTTCTTCACCTCCCACATCCTCAGAAAACTTTTCAAACATCTTTCAATCATTCTCCCCCTCTCACTCCAAAATTACCAACTTCTCTTTACTTGTCTCTTCCCTTCATCATCTATACATGTTTAAGCTTTTCCTGTCCTCAAGAAAAAGGGAGAACCCCTTTCTCTGTCTCTCTGGATTCTGCTTCAGTTACTAGTCCCTCTCCATGTTTCCCTTCACAAATGTCTTGAAAGTCACCTTCTCTCATCTCTACCTCCTTGGCAGCTCCTCAGCTCCTCAAACCTATGGAGTTTCTGTCCCTACCGCATCACTGCACTGCTCTCAGTCATGAATGGCTTGTTTGATCCTAAATGCCACAAGCCATATTTGAGTCCTCCTATTATTACAACTCTCAGTGACATTTGACAACATAGAGCACTCCACTCTTTCTGGAACTCCCTTGGTAACATGGCATGACTTCTCTCTTAACCCCTGTGACCACTTCTCAGTCTCACAGATTCCCTCCTCTGCTCATTTCACTCCACACATCCTCCCTGTCTGATCTGCCACATATCAGCAACACCCAAGTGCTCTATCTCTAGCTCAGGCCACTCATCTGGGTTGCTTATTCACAAAAGCCTGCTGGACTTCTCTACCTGGGTGTCCTAGAGACACCCACACTCTACGCATCTAAACTACTGTCCAAACAGTTGCCCAATTCAGAATCCTGGGAGCCATTCTCCATTCCTTCTTCTCCCTCCACCCCTCTGCCCTGACTCCATACCCAACAACCGCTAAGTCCCATTGATGCTGCCTCATAAAAAAATAACTAGAATCTGTCCCTCTTACCCCTCTTTCCCCTCAACTAATGCAGCAGCTTTTTTTTTTTTTTTTTTGAGATGGAGTCTCGCTCTGTCACCCAGGCTGGAGTGCAGTGGCGTGATCTTGGCTCAGTGCAACCTCTGCCTCCCGGGTTCAAGCGATTCTCTTGCCTCAGCCTCCCAAGTAGCTGGGATTACTGGCTCCCGCCTAATCAGGCTAATTTTTATACATTTAGCAGAGATGGGGTTTCACCACGTTGGCCCGGCTGGTCTCCAACTCCTGGCCTCAAGTGATCCACCCTCATAGCCTATGGATTAGAGGTGTGAGCCACTGCGCCCAGCTGGGAACACTTATTCTTAAAGCCCTGAGCGGTTATGTAAAATATTAAATCCTCAGAAAAGCCATACATGGAGGGGAGCACCTAGCTGCTCCTTGCTGGTATGAGTGAAATTGTCATGAATGCCCTATATTACCCCAAACATAAGCTGAATACCACTGAGTGACCTCACTTGAAGCCATGTGGAACAGAAGAATCATACAGCCAAGCCCTACCCACATTCCTAACCCCAAAGACTGTGAAATTATAATGAAAATGGTTCTTACTTTAGCCCATTCTTTTTAGGGTAGGTGTTTTATTATGGTGTCTGGTAGCCAAAATAGTTGGCATCAGACTTCTCAAGAGCAACGTACAAAGCCAGGCAGCAGTGATACAGCATTTTCAGCATTTTCTAGAAACTTAAGGAACAAAGATGCAAGCCAAGGATTTATATCCATCCATTTGTGCTGTTTTTAAAACATCCAGTCGATAAAAAAGAACCATTTACAAAATGCATGACTCAGAGAATGCTGTACATACCAGCCCATCTTAAGTGTCTAGTAGAGCAGGGTCAGCAAATTTTCTAAAGCATCTGATAGTAAACATTTTAGTTTTGGTAGCCTAGCTACTCCAGCCTGCTGCTGTAGCACAAAAGCAACCATATATGATATATCAATAAGTGATCCTTGGCAGATCATGAGGTCAGGAGTTTGAGACTGGCCTGGCCAATATGTGGAAACCCTGTCTCTACTGAAAATACAGAAATTAGCCAGGCGTGATGGTGGGCGCCTGTAATCCCAGCTACTCAGGAGGCTGAGGCAGAAGAATTGCTAGAAACCGGAAGGTGGTGGTTGCAGTGAGCCGAGATTGCGCCACTGCACTCCAGCCTGGGTGAAAGAGTGAAACTCCATCTCAAAAAAAAAATTTACATTTCATCTTTCCTTTGACACATCTCCTTGACAGGTAGTTTGACTATATGAGTATAATTATCTTTTGAAATTTAAGATTTTGCCTAGATGCTGTTAGGAGATATTGACCAGATGTTTCAGTCTCAACAAATGGCTTGTTATGTGACTGAATGAAAATATCTTTGCTGCTTTGATCACGTACACCTTGAAGGAAGGAAGGGGTAATTTAATAGAGGCTGTCATAGTTCATCATTGTCAATAAACTTTGACCTGACCTTTAAAAAAAAGATTATGTTCTGACAAAATTATATTTACAAAAACAGACATTGGTCTGGTTTTGGCTCATGAGCTATAGTTTGCCACCCCTATACTAGAGGAAAAGAAATAAATTTACTAAGTAAGCACCTTACAAAACACAAGGCCAGTATGATTTAAGAAAATAATATACTATGATCCAAGGGGTTTATGTATTAGTCCACTACAGCTGCCATCACAAAGTATTCAGATTGGTTGGTTTAAAGAACAGAAATTTATCTTCTCACAGTTCTGGAGGCGACAAGTTCTAGATCAAGAAGTTGGCAAGCGTGGGGCATGGTGGCTCATGCTTGTCATCTCAATACTTTGGGAAGCAGAGGAGGAAGAAGTACTTGAGCCTACGAGTTCAAGACCAGCCTGGGCAACACAGTAAGACCCCACCTCTACAAAAAAAAAACTGAGACAGAGTGTTGCCCAGGCTGGAGTACAGAGGTGATCTCTGGTCACTTTAACCTCTGCCTCCCAGGTTCAAGTGATTCTCCTGCCTCAGCTTTCCAAGTGACTGAGATTACAGGCACCTGCCACCACACCCAGCTAATTTTTGTTTGACTTTTAGTAGAGACCTCAGGTGATTCTCCTGCCTCAGCCTCCCAAAGTACCGGGATTACAGGCACGAGCCACCACACCTGGCTCCGCCCAAAAATTGTTTTTAAATAGTCAGGCATGGTGGTGCGTGTCTGCGGTCCCAACTACTCAGGAGGCTGAGCCCAGGAGTTCGAGGCTGCAGTGAGTCGA